TAACCGCATAAAAAATTTTTTATAGTTTCGGACCGAATAATGTTGATCATAGGCCAGGTCAATTTTAATGCCGGCTGAATTAAACGGTTAATACGGTTAAACGATTAAATGGTTAAGAAATTTTAGACGGTTCCAATCCCTACCCTGATTTCGAAAGTAGGTTTTCACTTTGCGGCACTCATATTACGACAGTATATGTTTGCAACACGTGCTAGATGTTTAACTGTTAACATTCATATATAAAAGACAAAATTTGATGATTCATTTATTAAGAGAGTAAGATCCTTACCGGTTTTTAGTAATGTTATTACATAAGGAAATACATAAAAGGTTATTACCAAACAAACGTAAATTGAGATGTACGACATCTAATGATCAAAGCAGTGTGAAAGGCATATGAACCCCTAAACCTAAATTTCTAAAGCTAGATTTAAAACTAGAGTTGCTGGTAAAATTAATTTCACCAATTCGATGCCCTCTGGCAGATTTAATCTTGTCGTATTTTCAAAGAACAAACTAGTAATCAATTTAAGGCATACTGTGAGATCATTAAATAGAAGTAATTTGAAAACTTTGGGAATACTTAAATTTATTTAGAGTTCCGTTGCAATATTCCATAAAAATTTTAGCTTTCGACTTATAACGTACATAAATACTAACATAAAATACCAAAATAAGTACTATACTGGTTAAGTTTGTTGCTACAAATTATCATACAATTATTCCATATGGTTATTGGGTAAATTTATAAACTCATAATTTATTGGACAAACATTACAGTATGCTATAATTTTTGTTTATTAACTTTAAAACAAAATTAATGATGTACAGTACATTTTTAATCGTGATTAATTACATTAAGAAAATCTTGAAAAAATGGAGAGCTTTCAATAGGATCACCAACAATAGCGTCAATTGCAATTTTAAATTTTGATTTTGTAAGGATATTAGAACTAACAAACTGTCCATCATAATATAACAAGTAACAGCCAATGAACGATTTGATACAATTTTTGCAACACCAATATTTTTAGCAACAGCAATTGTTATAGGATCCCAAAGATAATAACCAGTAAAGAATGCAGAGTCCCCACCAGGCCATATTGAACGAATAGTAGACAAAAGTTTATATACAAATATATCATAGAAACTTTTGAGTTTTGAGAGTTCATCGAAAAAACTAGCATTAAATGGTGTTTTACTTGTAAAATCTAATGGTACTAAAGTAATATCCAAATTAGAATCAAGTAATTCTTGAGCAGCAACACAATCAAGAAAAACATTAAATTCTGCGCGAATATTATTTGGTACGGTATGTAAATTTCCATGAACATTTAAAGCTCTACCCATCCAGAAAACTTTGTGAATTTTTTTAGTGTAAGTTGGAAATGCACGTAAAAGAGTTGCAATATTGGTAGCTGGACCAGTTATTATAATTATGGTTTTTTTTCCAGTTTGTTTAATCGTAGAATCAATAAGATCGGCAAAGTTCTTAGTGATATTAAAACCTTTGATAGCGTCATACCATATCCGTTTTGATAGTTTAAGCTGTCTATTAAGGCCGTATAGTAAATCATGTTCACGTTTTCCAAGATTACTTTCTGGGACCGACTTTTGATAAGTGCAGCCTGGGGTACCTAAGGAACCTGGGTTTTTGTCAGTTTCGTACAGGGAATAATCAGCGCCAAGTATGACAGAAAGGTTTTTTCCAAGATAGATATCGTCCACAATATCAACGAATAGATATTATTGTTATCTTGACCTAAAACGGCAATTTAAAGACACTGCGTATTAAAATACCTGCATGTGACCATCCGTCACCTTGGTAAGTAATACCACGTACATCAAATTCCTTAGATTTAAGCGCGTAAAGAATCGCAAGAAAATCGTCAGTTGCACCATCTACATCAATAATCACTGGGTTTTTAGCAATTGAGAAATCAGTGAACATAAAAAGAACGATAAAGACATAGTGTACGTTAATCTCCATTTTAAAACAATGTATTATTAATAATATTACTCTTGAACGTGAAGAGCAGAGTACGTGTGAAGAACATAATATGTGTATATTTTTATTCCTCAACATTAAATATATATTTTGAATTATCTATTGAAAATGCATAGGGGGCATTAGACTCTGAAATATTCATAGGTGTATCCTGTTAGAGATGGGTATTTTGCTAAAATTGAAAATGTAGTGTATTTGTTAAAAATCAGGGTGAATTATAAGTTATTAATTATAAGATATTAAATAATTTTACTCAGTTAATTATTCTAGGGAGAGCTATAATGTTGTATAAGGGTACTGAGGTAACTTTCAGTGTAACAATTATGGCAGGTTATAAGCTATTCCGAATTAAAATTATTTTTAATACAATAAGGCAATAACCTTTTTTTTTTAAAAAAAAACAAATGCATAGTTTATTGTTTCTGATATATTTATTTATTTTCTTCTGTACAATATGCGGTTCCCTACTAGTGTCATGGACGAAATGACATTTCCGAAAATAATACCAACCCGCGTCTCAAAAGACAAATTCTAAAAGGCTTAAATGGCGTACGAGGCTTGTCAGCCGAAAATTATTGAAAGAGATGAATCACTGAGGATAGAAAAAGCAAGAGAATAGTAAGCCTCTCTATTAGCCTGCTAAAGTTATTTAAAGGATAATGTGAGTAAGATTGGTTACAACACTTAAGTGCGAGGAACAGTACGTAGGGAGCACATAAGAATATAACCTATGATAATTCCTTTGTTTTTATGACCGAATTATCATAGTCTCACCTCCAGGAAGTAAAGGGATAATCCGTCGATTGTAAGTCGTGCTTAGGATTTTCGTACGAATAACGATCTTGCCCGATTTTGGGTCAAAATCCAGAACAACAGATTATCGAAAGAACATAACACCGA